GTGCCCATTTAATCTAACTGTGCATTGATATCTGTGTCCACCGAAAAATGATACTTTGATATTTTCTAGCTACCTGCCAGTACCTATATGTGCCTGGCACATTGTTCATCAGGTCGGAAGGTTAGCGGGAGGTATTCAAACATTTCAATATTGTTTAACAAATACAAGAGTTTTAATGACTAAATTTCCATACTTTAAGTCTTTCTATAGCCGACACACAAGTACAATTCTAATGACATGACTGCTATCATATAACACTGTTGTAATGCCCATAAGTTATACACACAACATCCAATCAAAGTAAGACGTTCTCACCAGTCATGTGATCATACAGGTGTGTCTCTAACACTCATATATACAGATATAAAAAGGTACCCCACGATTTATCACTGTAGGGTCCTATAACTATTACAACAAGCTGTAATGTATCAATATTTACAGATAATATCATGGCATGTCAGGTGAAAAGCCCAACAGCTCAGCCCGACATTCAAAATGTTCTCTTTTTATGTGCTTTCTAAGTAAAATACAACTATATATATATAATCTATATCTGTAGTTTTAACCCTCAAGGTAAGACAATCTTGTCAGGACTCGTTAACCCTGATTCAGGACCAGCTATTTTGGCTATGTGTTATAAAATAAAACACTATGTGTTTGAAAATTAAACAGTCTTCCTTATAAGTCGCAAGTTTGGAATATTAGAGATTTTGTACAACTTAAGCTAAAAAAGAAATCATTGATCATCATTCAGGTACATAATGTAGGAGGATAAGGATATAACTAAACCTTTACTTTACATGATTTACTTACCGGTAAGCACAATTTTCAAACATATATATTATAACTCTAATTTGCCACACTTGAATGATTCTAAGCTATAAAATGACTGTACAGAAGAAAAATAGACAAATCTTTGGTGATGTCAGCTTTTGTGTCAGCCATTAACAGCATGACTTACAATATATACAAAATACACTGTGATCATTAATCACACCAGGCAACAAACACTACAAACAGGTACTCAGTGTAGAGGTGCGTACCAGTAATCACTGAGTAACCACGCTTTAATACAAATCATGTTGTACATAAATATTTCATAAATATCAAACCAACTCTAGGATAGATTGCAAAAAGTCAGTTTGTGCAATATAACTGGATTTCTTGTTTACAATATTGATTTTATCTATTAAATAAAAAGCTTAAATAGGTTGAAACATTCTCCAAGACGGGACTTTAAATAGGATGGTTGGAACATTCTCCTTGTTGGGACTTTTGACAGGAAAATTCTAATAAGAAACATCCTGATAAATATGAGTTAAATGTTACAAAAAAAGGTCCCTTTATATAATGATACCATGTAAGTAGGAAATACTAAAGAAGGGTTGTATTTTTGAGCATTGTAATATTTAACTGTGACACATTTCTTATCATGTGATACACACGTAGCATACAAATTAACATTTTATTTAATATTGTTACATTTGATACACTTCGAAATCCCTCTCAGACTTGATGTATAAGATAACCAGTGACACATGGTTTGAAGCAAGTCTTTGCGTGGTATAGGATTGGTCTACTATCATATACAAGTGTTCCTAAGTTTCCCCTCACATGAGCATGTCTATAACCAGAACCAAACCTATTGCTTTGTTAACATGAATATAACAGTGGTTTGACTAACTGCAGCTATCAATTATAGACTCAAAGTCTGAAACTAAATTTTATAAGGTTGTCTAACTGGGTAAAGTTCAGTAACTGACTACTTGAAAAAGCTTTCAATGAGTAACCAGTATGATAATCAATCTATAATAAACACCAAATTTGACTTAATTTTACAAAATGAATTAGCATAAAAACTTACTTACATAGATGAAATTCTAAACACCTAAACACCTACTCGAAATCACAGGTTGTAACATTTCAGCTGAGAAACAAAACTTGACAGTTTCAGTAGACAGCTGACAATACATATTGTACATATAAGTATCTGTGTAGTATATTATACATGATTGACAGTTTCAGTAGAAAGCTGACAATACATATTGTACACATAAGTATCATGTAGTATATTATACATGATTGACAGGTTCAGTAGAGCTGACAATACATATTGTTCATATAAGTATTCATGTAGTACATTGTACATGATTGACAGGTTCAGTAGACAGCTGACAATACATATTGTACACATAAGTATCCATGTAGTATATTATACATGATTGACAGTTTCAGTAGCAAGCTGACAATACATATTGTACACATAAGTATCCATGTAGTATATTATACATGATTGACAGGTTCAGTAGAGCTGACAATACATATTGTTCATATAAGTATTCATGTAGTACATTGTACATGATTGATAGTTTCAGTAGGCAGCTAACAATACATATTGTACATATAAGTATCCATGTGGTACATTGTACATGATTGATAGTTTCAGTAGAGAGCTGACAATACATATTGTACACATAAGTATTCATGTGGTACATTGTACATGATTGACAGTTTCAGTAGAGCCGACAATACATATTGTACATATAAGTATTCATATAGTACATTGTACATGATTGACAGTTTCAGTAGAGCCGACAATACATATTGTACATATAAGTATTCATGTAGTACAATGTACATGATTGACAGGTTCAGTAGAGCTGACAATACATATTGTTCATATAAGTATTCATGTAGTACATTGTACATGATTGATAGTTTCAGTAGAGAGCTGACAATACATATTGTACATATAAGTATCCATGTGGTACATTGTACATGATTGATAGTTTCAGTAGAGAGCTGACAATACATATTGTACACATAAGTATCCATGTAGTACATTGTACATGATAGACAGTTTCAGTAGAGAGCTGACAATACATAGTGTACATATAAGTATCCATGTAGTACATTGTACATAATAGACAGTTTCAGTAGAAAGCTGACAATACATATTGTACATATAAGTATCCATGTAGTATATTATACATGATTGACAGTTTCAGTAGACAGCTGACAATACATATTGTACACATAAGTATCCATGTAGTATATTATACATGATTGACAGGTTCAGTAGAGCTGACAATACATATTGTACACATAAGTATCCATGTAGTACATTGTACATGATTGACAGTTTCAGTAGACAGTTGCTAACATAAGTGTAGCAGACAAAATGTATAGATTACAAACTAGTTCTGATTAGAAAAACGTAGCAGACAAAATGTATAGATTACAATCTAGTTCTGATTAGAAAAACGTAGCAGACAAAATGTATAGATTACAAACTAGTTCTGATTAGAAAAAAGTAGCAGACAAAATGTATAGATTACAATCTAGTTATGATTAGAAAAACGTAGCAGACAAAATGTATAGATTAATACAATCTAGTTCTGATTAAAAAAAAGGAGCAGACAAAATGTATAGATTACAATATAGTTCTGATTAGAAAATCCACAAATTTAGCCAGTAAACACTTTCCTTTTATAAAAACTTAGCTCATTCCCTCACAGAACTAAAACCGTTTCTCTGGAAACTGAAACCTTTTTAATTTATCTGTGTAAAAACTATGTTAATAGCAGTGGTGTGGATTACCAACAATATCACAGTAACATACCTATCTGAGTAGGTATAAATAATGCCAAATAAAAAAGGATACCCAAAGTAAAAATCATGTGACCACATACTATTGTTTGTAATGACGTCTAGTAGCTATTCCATCTTTGCATATTGCAGAGTTATCTTTTCTTGTGAGCAGGTATTGATTGTTACGTCATTGGTTTGTGTGAGAAAATTACGTCGTTTTCACAAAAATTGATGCCGTTACTCTCACAAACAAATGACGTAACAATCAATACCTGCTCACAAGAGAAGATAACTCTGCAATACGCAAAGACGGAATAGGTATACATGGGATGCAGATAGATAGAAACATATGCATGGAAATCAAGATCATGTTGGAGAAATAGTATTTGGTAAAAACTAAGTCTGTAATAATATATACAAATGAAAGGTAATGCTTGTATACAATATATCATAGGAAAAATTATTTAACATATAGAAACATTTTTAATGCCTCAGAAACTATAACAGAGATAAGGAATAAAGAATTAATATCAACAGAAAGCTGTACCACGTATAACAAATCAAAATAAAGTCTTTTAAAACAGGTTAATATTCAACTCAAGAAAACACACAGAATAAAATCAACTTAACGATGATGCTAAAATTTTAATTACTCCAGCTCAAGGGTTGAAGTGTTACTAGGATTTCAGGAGAAGTAAAAATTTCACCAAGCAATCTACCTCGGTTATTCATATACACAATAATATGTATATACATTGTCATAATGATGTATACAGTCTGATTGTCTACAGCGGGTAATAACTATATACACTTACAGCCTTACCTATAAATTGTACATTGACGCGGAAACCAAACAAAGCAAAGGCTATAAACCATGCCTGTCTTACACACATGCCTGTCTTACACACATGTCTGTCTTACACACATGCCTGTCTTACACACATGCTTGTCTTACACACATGTCTGTCTTACACATGTCTGTCTTACACCATGCCTGTCATGCACATGCCTGTCTTACACACATGTCTGTCTTACACACATGCCTGTCTTACACACATGCCTGTCATACACACATGCCTGTCATGCACACATGCCTGTTGTACACATGTCTGTCTTACACACATGCCTGTCTTACACACATGTCTTACACACATGCCTGTCTTACACACATGCCTGTTGTACACATGCCTGTTGTACACATGTCTGTTGTTCACATGCCTGTTGTGCACATATGCCTGTTGTAATGCTGTGTGGCTGCTGATTGGCGTCATTATTATCTTCATCCAAACAAAGTAAACAAATTCACACATTAATATTTTTTCAATCCTCATTATAAGCAGATATTATTTGTATGTTAAACATAACATTGTTCATCACTTTAAGTTCAAGACTTTAATGTCATCATTTACTTTTTTTTTTTTAGAAAATGCTACTTGCAGCTTCAGTAAAAATTCTTCAATAAAGGTTCATATTGTGATATACCAACATAAAACTCATGATGAGATAATCCTCAATCTGAGACAGGTCTTAATTTCATATAAAATGTTCTACTGAATAGCACTGTCACTTGATTGTTGTTGTTTCTTTTGTTTACCTAAACAGTGTAAACCAGCCAGCATAGAATAAATCCTGTAGTCTTTATAACAGTAAAACTTTAGACAAATAAAGTAGCACTATTGAATAAAAATAAAATTGTTTCTGTGTACGAGTTACTAAATGACACTATTAATGCTTATAAAATCACATATCTCTTAATGCTATGTCAGCCTAGTAAATTGTCGTCAAACGATTTATACCATATTACACAAAAGTACAGCAGTTAAAGCTATGTACAAAGTTAAAGCTATGTATATATAACACAGGTTAAACACTAAAAACAAGTCAAACATATAAAAAAAACATGTTTAAAACATGTTGTCATACATTTAATATAAAAATGGATTTCTGCTAGATAATTCAACCTCAACCTACATACCCGAACCCCTATTCCAGTGAATAGAATGATCCAATATAAAACTTAGATGGATATATGTTGGAATGTTGGGGGTGAGCAGGTTGTCTAATACTGATGTTATTGTTGCCAGTGAATCATAAAACATACTCCTGGTCCAACTCTCCTGCCTGGTGTTGTGCTTTCTCCACGTGGGTCCTCAATGATTCCTCCGTGTTAAAACCCTTTTGACATACTTTACAACGGAAATGCATTTTTAGATGCACACCAAGCCCATTAAATGTGGCAAAGCCTCTGTTGCAGAATTTACATTTATGGTTCAACTGGCCGAGGTGCACTGTGGTTATTCCTGTAACTTTGCGTCTGTCTGATCCAGTGTCTTCAGGCCCTGGGGATTTACTTGGCACTGTCACCTCCCAGTCAATATCCTTGCCATGGACACTTCGCACATGTTTCTGGAGGTCATAGCACACAGAATACTTCTTCTCACAATGGGCACAAGCATATGGTTTGTCTTTGGAATGAACTCGCTTACAATGTTGTTCTAGACTGTCATTTCCCCAGAACCTTTTGACACACAACAAGCATTTATATGGCCGAAACTCTCCGTGGTGCATCTTAATGTGTCGCTTCAAGTTACCAACATAGGCAAACTGTTTGTCACACTTGGGACAGGGATAGGATCCCTGCTCATTAGTGGGAGTCTGAGTAACATCCTTCAGGGCTTCAATGATATCCTCAGGTGTGTTCTCTGTGCCACTTGATGGTGTGGCTGGAAGACTTGGAGTCAGTGGGCTGGTGGGGGTAGGGGGCAATATTGGAGTAGTGGGTGTTGGGGGTAAGATAGGGGTTGTTGGAGACGTTGGATTTGTTGGAGAGGTAGGGGCGATGACTTTGGTGGTATTAATGACTTGGGTGGGTGTGCTGACCTCGGTGGGTGTGATGACCTCGGTGGGAGGGATTATCTCAGTAGCAGGAATGACTTTGGCAGGAGAGTTTTCTACATCACTATGTTCCCCAGCAGATGGACTGGAACTTGGTGAATCTAATGCTGAAACAAACAACAAACAAACCCTTATACACAGAATCAGGAGTAGTTCCAGAATAATTCAACAACACATCCCACTTACAGGTTTATTGTGGAGCGGAAGTTTGTTGTCTAATTAGGAAAATTTAATCAATATCAGTAAATAGATCAGAAAGTTAGCTTTTTAGATGAATTATCAGTTAATTAATAACTTTTCATATGATATGATGTACTTGATGCTCTTGCATATTTATTTCCACTCACAGGACTCTGTGTTTCTGATCTCTGCAGAAAGCAGGCTGTTGTTTCCAAGGGCAGATGACTCTGCCTCCTCTCCTGACACCTTGCGACGTTTACAGGCGTTGATCTTGTTTTGAGACAGAAGTTCATTGTAGTAGTTAAGGAGAACCTCCCTATCCGACACAGCCTCATACTCTGCCATCTTGTTTGCTCATAATGTCCAATACATTTCACCAGCCACCAGTCATAGGATGGCCATTTCCAAGAAAGTACAACATTGTGGGGAGATTACTGAAAATGAAATATGGAGAAATGTTCATTTAAATTATCCACTTAGAGAATAAATGGTTATCATATATATATATGCTATTAATTGTTATATATATGTAACATTATATTAAAAGGATATAGTAATTAGATAATAGCCATATTTGTTCGGAGGAAAAACTTGTCAGTTCACCATTTTTTATAATCTCAACTCCTCTAAGGTTTTTTAACAGTTGTGTACAAGAAACAAAACTGAAAATATCAGTACAAGAGATTTTTTTATTTAAATTTATCTCTTTGCAGAAGACTTTTTCTGAAATAAAACATGGTAAGCATTTTTGTAGATATACCCTTAGCATAAATTGCATAAAGCAGAAGGTTGAAATCAAAGAAAACCAGTAGTATAAAAAACCCACTAGAAAGATAAACAATCGTAATACTGGTATTTTTCTCATTTTTTTAGGATTTCCTCAAAAATGAAAGTCAAAAAGCCCTTTTTTTATTATCAAGAAAGTATTATAGTACTAATACAATATATCATTAAAGATATCTGTCCCAGGATATTTTTTTTTTTTTTACAACTTAGCAATATGTACAGGTCTTCAAATTAAATATTTTTTTGAAGCATGGGGAAGTCAAGATTGTTATATTTCAATGGTGAAACTGATATACTATATGATGATTTCTTTAAAGATACCTGAAATTCAATTTTGCTATAGCCACAGGACACTAGTTACTGCAGAACAAGATGAAAAAGTTGACAGAGCTGATATATGCCAATTACGCTACTAACCCAAATATTTATGTAGGCTTTGGTTAAGGATGATATATGTTTCAAAAATTAAAAGCATGTTTACATGATCAGTAAATGACTAAAACGTGTTTACCTGTCAATAACAAACTGGTATTACAATGGTGTCCAGGTCTACATCACAATAATTGGTTTGGAACCAGTTAACATTAAGTTATCATTTCAACGACTTAAATGAAATTTTGCATGTTTTCATTATTGTTAACACTTAGAAATAATAACGCACTGTCATAGGTAAGTGTTTGTATAAATGTTTATTCCGTGTGCTATAACTACAGTACAAGTCTAGATGTTGATCACTATTTTACAACATATACTATATATATACGCATATATACTAATACTTAAAATGCATTAATCATATAAAGCTTCTTATCCCTTAAAGTAACAAACAATAAATAAGTATATTGGAATCCACAACTATTACCTTTCTGATAACATACCAAATGCAGCATTGTGTTGTGCTCAGTCAACCGTGAACCTACTCCATAATTTATGCAAAAAATCTTAGAAATAAAAACTTTCTGGTTACCGTTACCCTACTCCAATGACAGGTTGGATATTCATTGTATCTTAAAGTAAACAATAACAAATGAATACTATGTCCCTGAAACAATAACTCTGAAGTTTCAAATACAAACTAGAACGGGGTTATAAAAACCGGAGGCCTTGTTGATGCATGTCCTAGAAATCCAACCATAGTCGTTCCTCGCGTGACCCCGATATTCCAAAAGTGTCTACGGGCAGTAAACCAAGTTTATGACTTTATATTACAGGTTAGTTTACATCTTAAATACTTACCTTAGTGGCCGATGCTACATTTTAACTCCAAAAACTACTCTGAGTAACTTTTGGAAACTTTTGGAACTGTTTACAATAGTTTCCACCCCGTACCTCTTGCCCTGTCCACTACTTTTTTACTCGTTGACGCAGAAGAGTTCCAATATTTCCCGAAAAGCTGACGTCACGAAATGTGGTTCATGGTACACTGTTTTGCATACGACCTAGAGTAGGTCTGCATACTAATGAGACACGCTTATCATACTTGGGTAAGTCTAGCGTTAGACATAAGCATTCTTGTTCTTTTTTTAATCTAACAAAACGAGTATGTCTCGATCTACATAACATTACAGAATAATATTAGAATATAGACATATTTCCGCGTTAAGCTAATGAAATGTTGTGATTCCTTTTTTGATAACGATTATATTAAGTGTTCATTAGTAATAACGGCAGTATGTTTTAATATTGACACTGGATTAGGACAATGATCGTTGGATGCGTATTAACTTATACATTTACCATAACGTTCCATAACTTAGTTTTTCTCGTTACGTTATTCAGTTCTCACTGGATTCTATGTGGCTTTTTTTTCAAAAATGTTTTTTCATGACTTTGGTGGGTTTTTTTGTTTTTTGTTTTTTAAAATTACGCACACAGGTAGAGATTATACTCAGTATTTTGATCAGAAATCTGTATAACGATTATTTTGTCAATGTTACTGAGATATCATTTTTTTTATTTATTTTTTATCTCTGCATGGAATTTAATTTTGACGTCATTTCCCATAGACACAGAGCAGAGACGTATAGGCCTATAACACATGGCTTTATACGTCTCTGTACAGAGATAGGAAACGGATGATTATATAAATATATTATCAACAGAAATGCTGGATATTTTTTTCTAGTTGTGTGCCGTATGGGACGAAAGTGAAATCAGGAAAAATATCATGATTGAGAAAGAAAAAAACGCGAAAAGATTTTTGCATGTCACAACATAATAAATATACATTGCGTACAACGGAATTCAGGGCGACCCGCCTCTTTATCAAGATATGAAATAATTATAATCTGACACAAAGATAACACAGAAAAAACAACATTTTTTGAATTAATATGCTGATGTTAAAGCATATCCTTTCGGCCGAACAGGATTCGAAAGCTGTTTATAATGAGAAGAAAACATATTTTTAGGTCGTGCATCGCGAGGTGTGTATTCATTGCTATTTATTTATTGTGAACTCTATTCTGGTCACATTGTTGAATCGAGGCTTTGCCACATTTTGTGAAGGAGAGTACTCAACTTTGGACATTTACTTTGTGCATCAGGTTTTGTTGTGGGTCTGCGCATGATGTTTTCAGTTTCCTTTTATTTATCTGTCAGTTCCATTTCCTTGAAATATAAGTGTTTACACCGATGATCTACTTGGTAAGGATGTAGTCAGCAGACATATATATATAGCAGCGAGTGGCGTAATCCTTGTCTGTAAACACAAATACACTTCCTGCTTTAAAAAGTATTAGGCTTCAACCAAGGGAACCTACACATTTTCCAATACAATACCCTCTTCTGGTCGATTTGTTTTAATACGAAGTTGAAATTACTGAAAAGGGTATCAAGACTGTTCAAATATATCGACGATGTGCTGTCCTCGTACCATAGGATTGTTGACTGTATGTCCTCGTGAACTTGATAGTAACATCACTTCTAGTCCGACTTACGATGTTAACCTTACATTTTTTTCGGTATTCAAGAACTTGTTCAAAATATCGCGATCTTCATGACAGTTATCGAATAATGACGGGCAAACTTAACACACCGGTGTAGATTGATGACAATTTTTGGCAAGTCACCATGCAGGCTGATCTCATAGGGAAACAGGCTGTTTGTGTAATAATGGCTGTCGATGTTATTGTTAATGTTTATAAGTACACCTTGTGTCTTTTGTCACTACCCCGGCTCTCCCTTTAAGGGTGTGGCATTACCTGGATTGTCGTTTAGATTGACATGGCGGGTGTCGTGGATGAAGCAGAAGACGCCTGCCATTGCGGAACACCTGGTCTTCTTATCCTTGTACTTTTCAGGGGTCTCCATGTAAATAAAGGGTTTCCATGTAAATATTTCCTTTGTTCATCTTTTGCCGTACTTTTACGAATGCGTAACTGGGCTTATTCAATCTATGAGGGTATAGTCGAATAGGTGTAAGATGGTTACGTATATCTAGGAAATAGCTAACTGAATCCAGGATTACATAGATATGATCTTAAGTCTCAACTGACCAGCTATGCACGTACCAATTGGTTATGAGGGGTTTATGGACCTTATGATAGATAAGGGCTGGAGGCATCCTAGTAACATGGACTGAATCCAGGATTACATAGATATGATCTTAAAGTCTCAACTGACCAGCTTTGCGCGTACCAATTGATTATGATGGGGTATAAATAGAACCTAGAAAGGAGATAATGTTGGAAGGGCTAGGGACGGCTAGAGAAGAGGCTTGAAGGGCTAGGGACGGCCAGAGAAGAGGCTAGAAGGGCTAGAGAAGAGGCCAGAAGGGCTAGGGACGGCTAGAGAAGAGGCTAGAAGGGCTAGGGACGACCAGAGAAGAGGCTAGAAGGGCTAGGGACGGCTAGAGAAGAGGCTAGAAGGCTAGAGACGGCTAGAGACTGCACTTTGGTACAGCTACAGACGACAGAGACAGACCCCCACACGATGTACCAGAATAAACTTCCAATCAACCATTAACACTTGTTCATTCGTGGTTTTTTTTTTACACTGTACTGCCCTATCAACACAAGAAGGGCTCGTCACATTATAGACAGAGCAGAAAAACTGTTATCAAGAGAAGGAGTAAGAACCATAAACAACGCCAGGGGGTTAGTAAAATAAAGACCAAACGTAACAGTATTACCAACAATGTATCGACTATACTGGACAAAGAAACAGCTGACCAGGCCAGGGCTTACTGCACATCTACATACAACACCGAATACTTGAAATGTAAAGAAAGACAACGTACAGAAACTGATCAATTGTTAAAAAAAACAAAAAAACTTAGATCTTTCTGGCACTCGGCTCAAGAAATGGGTGATTTAGGAGGCACGGTAGTCAAGTGGTAGGACGCCGGGCTCGTGACCGAAGGGTTGCGAGTTCGAGTCACGGCACGACATTGTGTCGTATCTTTGAGCAAGATACTTTACTCCGCTTGTTCCAGTCTACTCAGCTGTAAATGAGTACGTTGTTGGGCAGTGCTAGAATTGAAGCATGCTAGCTGTGAGCGCCGAAATGGCAGCACCGGCTGTATGCTCCCCAGGGAGTTGAGAAAGGTATTGGCTGATTGCAAAGGCCCTATAACCAAGGATATTAATTTGTTATTATTATTATCATTATTATTAAATCAGCAAGTACAGATTGACAGATGACCAGACCAACGTACTTGCTAAGGGTCTCAATCATACCATCAAACCTAAACACTGGTCGGTGGAAGAGTTTGTAGCGGCCACAGAGATCGCGGTTTCAAAGCTCCCACAGACAGAGGCTGACCAAACAAGATAGGAGGTGTTAGAGCCCTAAACAAAGCTAATTTACCAAAGGACAGTAGTGATAAGGGAGAAAGGAAGGGTCTCGATGAAAGAAAAGTCCATAATGATTTTACCAGCTGACCAAAGACAGAGAAACCGTCGTGATGGATAAAGCAGAATATGAAAAAAAGATTATTACCGTGCTTAGTGACAACAAAACATACAAGGTGCTGAAAAAAGATTCCACACCAACTTATAACTGTTAATTGGTTATAATTCCCACAAAGGTGACGAACGGGGGAACTATCAGTGAAGAACAATATAAAAGGTCTACCCTACATCAGGGAACCATCAGTGAAGAACAATATAAAAGGTCTACCCTACATCAGGGAACTATCAGTGAAGAACAATATAAAAGGTCTACCCTACATCAGGGAACACTCCACGCATATACTGTACGTCAAAGACCCACAAGCCAGGCTTTTCCATTAGTGTGGATTACACTGGATCAACCGCCCACTTCACTCGTTATTGACACCAACTGTGTACGTATGGCACAGTTTATTGGATATTCAACGAGTTGCTCAGTAAATCACAATTTCCATGGTAGATGTCTAACATTAATGATACCGAAGTGTAAATGTATACGTAAACTAACTCAAAATTGATAAAACTGTGGCAAAATATAGACAACGGAAATATTTTCATGGAGACCATTGAAAATAAACAAGAATATGATCCAGGTGTTCCGGAAGAGTAAGAGTCTTCAGTTTCATAGACAACCGTTATGTAAATCCAGATTAAATTCATTATCACGTCCTCACACCGAGAACTCTGGAAGTGACAACAAAACTACACTTATGAGCAAAAACATCGGCCTTTTTATCACACAAAAATAGTATAGTTCCCAACGAGATCATGGTGGTGACCATAAGACTATAGCCCAATCTTCATCAGCCTACATATCAGGGTGGAAACCCAGTGTTGAAAGTTTGTCCGTCAGCAGTCGACACCAATCAAAGAAATCATGATATTCGGAGCAAGCTCCTGAATACCGAACTATCTGCCATATGTAAATACGATGAATTGGGGAGACAGGGATGTTACTGTCAAAGAAGGGAAAGTTAACGATAGGAAAATCGTCACGCTCTGTAGTTAACCGTCCCTGTTTATCATATTGTACGTAAAGATCAAGGAAAGCGGCTGATGTTAATGGTCTGCAGTGTCATTGATTTCATGCTCAGGAGGGTATATACCATCGACAACGGTCAAACACTTCTTGTTTACAGATAGTATACCGTTGAGCTCTCTTGAATTGAAATTGAAGATTGGTAAGGTTTTCATTATAAGTTCTTCAATAAATTTCGATTTATATAAAAACAAGTCGGCCAGAAGATGGACAGTTTGTTTCCACAGGAATGTATAGTCAGCTGTGAAATCTTGTCAATAAAGTATGAAATTATGAGCAAAAGTTTTGACTGCCATCTTGATCTCGTATGGGAATTTTCTGTTTCCCAATGCGATATAAATATCGACCTTTTGATTGTGGTCATTAAGATGTCTTGGGGTTTCGATGGTATGACCCCTGTTCTCACGTGGAGACGTGGTATAACTTGGATTTGATCTACATTTTCACAGCTGGTATCGCCATTAAGGCAGAAACCCTTCCGGAACACCTAGTCCTATTCTCGTTGTACTTTTCAGGGGTCTTCATATATAAGCATAGTTTCATCGCTTTTGAGTTCGAATTACAGGTTCGTCAAACTTTTGTAATCTCTTGCTTATTTTGTTAGGAACAGGGTTGACATTTCGGAGCGCATTTGTTATTCACCAGTAAGGACCAAGGAAGACCAACAGTACACAGCCTGGGCTGTGCAGACGTTCCATTCGACCAAGTCAAACCTCTGCCAGACGCCTGTCGGACCCGGTTTATGTCTTTCCTTAGCTATACTCAGCTAATGTGTCCTCTTTCAATGATATATCAGCATGTGAATCATTTAACAGGGAAAGTGCGTCAGATCAGGGAAATTTAACAAGTGGATCACTCAATTACGAAATTGCGTCAAATGAGGTCATCATTCAACAGGAATAATGCGTCAGATGGGGGACATTTCCCCAAGTGGACCATTGTACAGGGAGTGTATGTTGGACTCAACATAGTGTTTTACATCAGTCATCAACTGTGAGCTTCCGATATGCCTCGTGACCACAGCTAGAGAGCTTGACTGGTTACACAGTCGAACTGAGCGGGAAGCTACATGACAGGGGAGAGGACGTTACATCAGCATTCCAGAGTTTTAATAGTGTTCGTGGAATTATGTGGAATCAGATGAAGGAGATATTCGGCTTGTGGCACCAGAAAACTATCAGTATGGTCGATGCGATGTGGACACTTCATTGGAAACGAGAGAACTTGGAAGTGTTAGCAATTCGCTATTTTGACGAAACCCTCAAAAGATTACAGCGATGGTTTACTGATTTGAATACCACAGCATCTTTGGTATTTGTCCCAACTGTTCCGGGACAGCTCCACCTTATTTGGGGAGAAGTTTGTTTAACCGTATTGATCTAGTGCTAATGGTGGTTGCAAGACTGGATATCTGCGTCTGATTTTCTGCTACAAGTGCGTCCATCATCGACATGTGGAACAAGCTTGACTTCCCGAACAAAGCTTTAACTGTGATAACAACTTGCAGCGAGTGCGATAACTGTTTTTAATAGTGAGCCAGTGCTTTTTGAAAACATATGCGTCTGCAGTGGGAAAGGGTCGTCTCCAAGGACTGCACCCGAAGAACACCTAATCAATCACATTGCCAGGAAATATGATGATTGTGGCTGCAGACTAATAGCTATATGGACAACAAATCATGGATTTTTTTGTTTTCTGCAGAGTGCCATTCTAACTTTTCTATGTGCATTATATTATTGTAATTGTATTAAATAATAAAAGGGAAATTCTATATCTTCTATTTATTTACAAAGTCGTTCAGAGGTACATGTATTTGAAACAAGTGTTTGGACCGCTCTCCGTCTTAACTCTTTCCGTACCGTTGTCGTGTACACACGACAACAATATGTCATCCTGGTCCCCGTTGTCGTGTACAGACGACAAAAAAAGGGCCGTCTCATCCCCGTTGTCGTGTACACACGTCAAGAAACTTTGATGTAACCTGCCTGATGTTTAGTTGGTTATCGCACGAGACTGTCGCGAAAAAACAATTAATTGTCGCTAAAATCAGAACCCACCAGTTTGGAAAAAATAATTTTATTTGTGCAGAGTACACTCTTTTATTATGTTACTTAATGTTTTCGCATTTGCCGCAAGATGTTTGCGTTTGGTGCCTCAAATGTAAACAAGATGGCGGCAACTTAATTCGATACGATCACTCGTAAATTCATCATCAGATATTTGTTGAGACTTATGGAAGTAAATTTGAATATTCTAATATAAATCTTGATGAAATCTACTTGTATTTAGAAAAAAACTCAACGACTCCACATTCGTAACCATAATCAATCCCCATTGAAAACCTGCACTACAACGCTGTGTTAAATACAAGGAATCGTATCGTTTATTGCCAGACAAATGTCGATGTCTCAGTCATAATCAGCTGCCAGTTAGTCATTATGCTGCGAAAATGAAGAAGTGTTTGTCTATGAACCAGAACATGAAACAATAACAATATTTGTTTACCTGTTTAATTCTTGCGGCAGTTACACCTAGTCTAAAATGTATATTAATAATCCGCCATTTTGTTATATGTGCGGGGGCGAGTCTAATAAGTTCATCCGGTACTTCTTAGGTTTTACTATAAATATAACTATAGGTGTTAATTATGGTATCTGAATGTATTCGGACGAAGTTTCATGAATTGCGATGCATTTTTTTAAAAGGTCATATCTTAAATATGGGAATATCTATATATATATATATATCAAATATTCAAAATGTTACGCATTTTGTATATCAGTGTTATTGGTGTAACATGCCACCGAGCACCCATCCAGCCAGTGACCACGCTAGATTTTGCTTAAATGTACATGTATTGCTAGTCCCTGGAGTGTAGCGCATGGCTGGGAAAGCTAACTTGTAATAATGCTGTATTGCCTCCTCATGTTTCTTAGCTGTCTCGTTAATAATTGCATTCACATGCCGGAACGTTAGCTAACTTTACTCCCTAAACAGCTTAAGTTCAGAGGTCGAGGACTTCCGGGTGATTGTTGATTGAAGTACTACAGAGTGACACTGCCAAGTGCTCGTCACATGTCGTCGTGTGGAGTGTTTTCCTAGATAAATATAAGAGTTAAATTCTATTATTTTGTTCAGCCGAACTTATGTACGATGCAACGTTTTAAAAGTATAGTTCGTTGTTGAGGTACATGTACTGCAAATTGATCAATAATTTTAAATTTTGAATAGCACTCATTTATCGACAAGTGTGTGTGTTTTGTTACTAGTCTTAAGTAATTCAGATGATGGGACAAGTCGACTATATTTGATTCGTACTGTCTTATGATTTCAAAGTAACGTAATCAACAAGATGAATAAGTTTAATCTTTTAGTCAATTCAGTTATAAGTTGTAGTAGTCGTTTTTTATCGGATTTCTCGGAGATGATTCTAAGGATTAACGTTTTGTGAAACTCTTTTTTAAACATAATATATCTTTTTTACAGTATACTGACCACCTGTCCTATATGTCAACTAAAATGATAGGCTGTTATAGCTAGTGACTAGACACTGGCATCAAAATCAGTCTGCTATTATATGACTTGGATTAGTCCGCATATGCCACACACTTACCTGAAAGTCTGATCCCGTATTCCTGAAACAGTTCTCTTGCTCACTCAAGTATGGGTTCAGTACTCAACCAACCTTCTTCTAACTCGCTTAAGTATGCGACATGGACAAAACGTTAGTGTTAACATTGCAAAACGGCTTCAAGTCTCTCCCACATTCGTCCATCCCTTAGACAAAAGGTGTTGTCAATAAAACAGAAGTCGCTTGACCTTCCGGATCATCTGGTCTTATTCTTGTACTTTTTCAAAGTTCACCATGTAAATATTTTCTTTGTTCAGGTTTAGCACTAGTTTTATCGACTTTGTGATAAAATGATGGTTTTGTTGACACTTTGACATTCTTTGTCCCCCCCTCCCACCATTAATTTATCACTGGAATAAGAAACCTGGCTTCAGCACAGAACTCGAGTTTGTGCATGAATATGTTTCCATGAATACATGCCCACGAATCCTAATACCTCATTATCCACACGTGCAAGCATGCACCCACATACCGTGTAACAGTACACCCACTATTACAAAAAAAGTATTAACAGAACAATGTTTAATTTTTGTCATCATTTTAATATTCTTATAAAATGATTTAAAATACATTTACACAACATATTAATAAGTATTATATACGGGAAGGAACAGAAATTATTTATCCTAGTAAAGTATAAAAGTTTATTTATAATATATACACTGATATATAGATACAAATATATAGAGGACATGGTGTGGCGATCTACAGGACAACATGTCTTATCAGAGATGATCTGAATATAAGTTTGTATAAGGCTACCTTGGACATACGTATGTGTATGGCAAACTTTGCCCTGCAGTTCAGGGGAGATAATTTTGTGACCTAATTTTTACATATATTTCAAGGGATGTATCCATTGTATGCACAACTTGTCTTCAGAGAGAACTAAACAAGGACAGAATTGTGGAGGAATGGTAGGCTGGGTTTCTGAATAGTGAAACTTCTTTGAAGAGATAGGGGAATGTGTTAGTAACTTGGGTGGATCATGTCTGATCTAGCCACAGTTTGTCTACACCATAGCGACACTTGCTTAGTTACATATTCATACACATATCCAAAGTTGTTTGGTGCTGACTGAAAGAAAATGTACCACAAATGCATAAGATGAGTGGAGTTTATTCCTGCTAAGTTCTCAACAATGAAATGAGGGCCATATATGGATAAAATGCATGTCAGGCATACTAACTGCAGGTCATTTCAGTATTTCAACTTTTCAAAGCTATCCAAACCATCAGTATGGCATTTAAACTATTAAGATTCAAAATCACTTTCAATGTTGGGATAAGCGCTGCAAATACAAGAAATTCTAAAATACATGGATACTAGTTCTACAATCTGCACTGGTCATGGAGGTCATTTTCAGGTTGACCTGCACAAATGAAAGTGACTTGGCAGGTTTTGTATTCGGCTTATAAACAATCTAATACAAGCAATCAATGTTTCTGATGGAACTTATATGCAAGGGTTTTGTATAAAACATCAGAACTGTAGATATAATACACACAATAATGTGACCAGTGGAGAGGAGTCTGGTATTGCAGTAACATGATAAAGGTGTTAATATTCTATACACTGTATATATGACACTGGCCTGGTACAGGTTAATTCTCACTAACCTGGAAACTGATGGAACAATCCCTAGCTATGTTTGAGTCCAAATCCTGCCCTGTAGCAGCCCTAGTGCTGGCTACAGTTGTAACTACAGTACCTTAGTGTACACGCCCTATATCAGCTCTAGTGTTTTCAGTAAATATTTAAGCTGAACAAGTGTGACTTCTGCCCTGTTTTTTTGTTGCTTGCAGGAAAAGCATTGGTAGTTTAATAGATGGAGCATTTGTTTGCATGGTATGATAATGGAGACTGTTGTCAGTCAATAGATACATGTAGTATGGAACTGATGTGCATCTCAGAGAAATCTGGAAGACAGTCTAGGGTGTTCTCTAACTAATCTATGACAAGCAAAACTGGTGGAAATGTATATATATCAGGGTCTGTGAGGTATTTTGTATGTTCATGTAACAAGGACATTTAATGAGTACATGTAAGGTAGAGCCAGCTATGTCAACACACACAGAACCAGTACAGATAACAGCTACACAGGTGTGTGGTCACTGTCGACACACACAGAACCAGTACAGATAACAGTTGCACAGCTGTGTGGTCACTGTCAACACGCACAGAACCAGTACAGATAACAGTTACACAGCTGTTTGGTCACTGTCAACATGCACAGAACCAGTACACATAACAGCTACACAGCTGTTTGGTCACTGTCAACACACACAGAACCAGTACAGAGAACAGCTACACAGGTGTGTGGTCACTGTCGCCACACACAGAACCAGTACAGATAACAGCTACACAGGTGTGTGGTCACTGGCGACACACACAGAACCAGTACAGATAACAGCTACACAGGTGTGTCGTCACTGTCGACACACACAGAACCAGTACAGATAACAGCTACAAAGGTGTGTGGTCACTGTCAACACACACAGAACCAGTACAGATAACAGCTATACAGCTGTGTGGTCACTGTCAACACACACAGATCCAGTACAGATAACAGTTACACAGCTGTTTGGTCACTGTCCACACACACAGAACCAGTACAGATAACAGTGACACAGCTGTTTGGTCACTGTCAACATGCACAGAACCAGTACAGATAACAGCTACACAGCTGTGTGGACACTGTCAACACGCACAGAACCAGTACAGATAACAGTTACACAGCTGTTTGGTCACTGTCAACATGCACAGAACCAGTACACATAACAGCTACACAGCTGTTTGGTCACTGTCAACACACACAGAACCAGTACAGGTAACAGTTACACAGCTGTTTGGTCACTGTCAACACACACAGAACCAGTACAGATAACAGCTATACAGCTGTGTGGTCACTGTCAACACACACAGAACCATTACAGATAACAGTTACACAGCTGTGTGGTCACTGTCAACACACACAGATCCAGTACAGATAACAGTTACACAGCTTTTTGGTCACTGTCAACACGCACAGAACGAGTACAGATAACAGTTACACAGCTGTGTGGTCACTGTCAACAGTGTTAACACCCACAGCAGTTACACAACTAGTGTAAAGTGTTAACACCCACAGCAGTTACACAGCTGAGTGTAAAGTGTTAACACACACAGTTGTGTACATTATTTGTAGCAGATATCTGATCATTTGGTTCTTTTATTGAAAACTAATTTCATAGCATTGCATACATACACACAATCAACATAGAAAACACAGGTAATGTTTATCAATGCATTACAGCTCCATGTCAATAACACACACCATTGTTACCTAGCAGGCTTAGTTATAGACACCATGTAGAAGGTGTGACTAACCTCTATCCAACCATAAGGCAATACAGTGTCAACTCAGGCACTCCAATCAGCTGTCAATGCTGCTTATGGAAATAATTCTAAAATTTCAGCTACATCAAAACTTCAATGAAGTTACTCAATGAATAATGTCAATTTTGAAAACAAAACAACCAGAAATTTATATATGATAGACATTGGTGAATTGAAACTAGCAGAGAAAAAATGAAATTATTGCTACCATAAAAATCGAAAGATAAACATTAATTAGAGAATATGAAGAAAGACTAGTAAATATAAATACAATGCCTGGAGCAATATAAAGTCATGTACATGATACTGAAAATTGATTACATGAGAGATTTATAATAAAACTATATTGAGAAGTCACATTAATGACTGACATTAATGATAAAAACTATACTGAAAAGTCACATTCATGACATTTATGATATACACTTTACTGAGAAGCAGGTTTGTTTGTTATTGTGAGTGACAGACATGAAAATATATACTAAACATTATCTACAATCTTACAAAACAATTTATTAAAACATTTTGAACATTTTGATGGGACTTTGTTCAACAATGCCATATGGTGTACAGTTAGTGCAAACCTCCAGGCAGAATGTAAGCACTCTTGATCTCAGCAGGAACCGATTCAACAAAATTATCTACCCATCAGCTTCCTGCTAACAACAGGGAATTCAAGTCTCCTATAGAAATGCACATCTTTGGTATTTTAAATGATCAGAGAACTAGTGACCTAGCTGTCTGTCCCGATGGGTTGCTCTTCAGCCCAACATTGAGTAGACGGGACAGAAAGGTCAATACAGGTCACTGTGATCCCAATGTTAAACCACAGCATTCAAAATCCACTCTCCGCCTCCTCGTCTCACTAGCTGTTTGTGTAATGTGTTATGGAGTATTATTGGTTCACAGATTAGCCAATCAGCCGTGACCTTTCTCGCTCACAGCTACCACAACATTGTTTGGAGTATATACTGTAGTTACATAACATAGCTGTCACGATTAGTCGACACTTCATCAGTGGAGCACGGTCCTTACAGTCAGGCAGTGTGGCATCTGTAAAGCAATGACAAAATGAAAGGTAAATTACAAACAGAAAGGTCAATTACAAAGGTAAATTACAAACACAAAGGTAAATTACAAACACAAAGGTAAATTAACTAGACAAGAAAACCCCACAACAGACAGCAAGCAAATCAGAAACAAAGTGTAGGAAAAACAGAATCTTGAAATACAGCTAAAAGATAAGATTCCAGCTGATTTTTCTGTATTTATAAGTTTTATTGACATGTGTTTCTCTTTTTAATGCATTTAACACTCAAACAGTATGATATTATGAAACAATATAATTGCAATGGGATATGCCTCAAGTCCCATCTCATTGGACTATAAGTTAACCAGGAGCACAGGGTTCCTTTGTGTAGTATAGCATGGGTCTAATTTCAAATCCAAGGGTTCTCAGGTTTTTTTACCTTGCTTTGATGTGAACAGTCAATAAATACATCCACATCTGTTTTCATTATAATCAAAACAAGCTAACATCAGTATGGCCACCGATTTTTGGTTTTTGACTTTTGTTTAGAATAATGAGATTGGTATGTACCTTTCTGTAAGACCTGGATAGAGATATCATCCTCCACTTTCTCTTCGTTGTTGTTGGCGATACAGGTGTAGAGTCCTGTGTCATCTAAGGTCAGACTAGTGATGCGCAGGTCACCTCCCCTTACAAACACTCCAGGGGAATTCTGTAGGGGGCGCCCCAGTCTCTCCCACATGAGGGTTGGCTCAGGGTAGCCATACCCTCGACAGGTAAGGTAAAGTCGATCACCTTCCCTTGGCTTCTTGATGTTAATGTCATCAATGGCCACTCTCAGCGATTCTGTTATCAAAACAGTGTAAACTAGTGTAAATATGAGTATGGACCAGATGTTAATTCAGCTGCTAATAACATAACTTAAAAATATAATATTATACAGATTGAGACTTTACTACTGACATCCTCACTAAATCTCCACCTGTGCTAGGTGGTTGTAATTTGGTTTATAGGGCTGTGACATACCTCTTATAGACAACATCATGATGCGTTCTGCAGGTGTGGACACACCATTGCTACCCATACACACATAGTCCCCAGTATCCTGGACGTTAACCTGGGAGATGATCAGAGTACCGTTGTCAAACACTGCAAACTTGCCACCAGACAGGACTTGGTTGCCTCCCTTGGTCCAGGAAACAGAAGGGCGGGGCGTACCATATGCTTGGCAGTGAAGGAAAGCGTTACCTCCTGGCTTCACTACAATCTTGGCAGGAGTTGGGAAGATTCCTATGGCCACTACAATGATGGAAGAACTTGTCACAGTGATGTACATAACCCTTATATGTACATGTGCCAGTGATGTATATTACCCTTATATGTACATGTGTCAGTGATGTACAATACCCTTATATGTACATGTGTCAGTGATGTACAATACCCTTATATGTACATGTGTCAGTGATGTACAATACCCTTATATGTACATGTGTCACAGTGATGTACAATACCCTTATATGTACATGTGTCAGTGATGTACATTACCCTTATATGTACATGTGTCACAGTGATGTACATTACCCTTATATGTACCTGTGCCACAGTGATGTACAATACCCTTATATGTACATGTGTCAGTAATGTATATTACCCTTATATGTACATGTGTCAGTGATGTATATTACCCTTATATGTACATGTGTCAGTGATGTACAATACCCTTATATGTACATGAGTCACAGTGATGTACAATACCCTTATATGTACATGTGTCAGTGATGTATATTACTCTTATATGTACATGTGTCAGTGATGTATATTACCCTTACCTGTACATGTGTCAGTGATGTATATTACCCTTATATGTACATGTGTCAGTGATGTATATTACCCTTATATGTACATGTGTCAGTGATGTACAATACCCTTATATGTACATGTGTCACAGTGATGTACATTACCCTTATATGTACATGTGTCAGTGATGTATATTACCCTTATATGTACATGTGTCAGTGATGTATATTACTCTTATATGTACATGTGTCAATGATGTATATTACCCTTACCTGTACATGTGTCAGTGATGTATATTACCCTTATATGTACATGTGTCACAGTGATGTACATTACCCTTGTATGTACATGTGTCACAGTGATGTACATTACCCTGATATGTACATGTGTCACAGTGATGTACATTACCCTGATATGTACATGTGTCACAGTGATGTACATTACCCTTGTATGTACATGTGTCACAGTGATGTACATTACCCTGATATGTACATGTGTCACAGTGATGTACATTACCCTTGTATGTACATGTGTCACAGTGATGTACATTACCCTTGTATGTACATGTGTCACAGTGATGTACATTACCCTTATATCAACATGTGTCACAGTGATGTACAATACCCTTATATGTGCATGTGTCACAGTGATGCACATTACCCTTATATGCAGATGTGTCACAGTGATGTACAATACCCTTATATGTGCATGTGTCACAGTGATGCACATTACCCTTATATGCAGATGTGTCACAGTGATGTACAATACCCTTATATGTGCATGTGTCACAGTGATGTACATTACCCTTATATCAACATGTGTCACAGTGATGTACAATACCCTTATATGTGCATGTGTCACAGTGATGCACATTACCCTTATATGCAGATGTGTCACAGTGATGTACAATACCCTTATATGTGCATGTGTCACAGTGATGCACATTACCCTTATATGCAGATGTGTCACAGTGATGTACAATACCCTTATATGTGCATGTGTCACAGTGATGCACATTACCCTTATATGCAGATGTGTCACAGTGATGTACAATACCCTTATATGTGCATGTGTCACAGTGATGTACATTACCCTTATATGAACATGTGTCACAGTGATGTACAATACCCTTATATGTGCATGTGTCACAGTGATGCACATTACCCTTATATGCAGATGTGTCACAGTGATGTACAATACCCTTATATGTGCATGTGTCACAGTGATGTACATTACCCTTATATGTACCTGTGCCACAGTGATGTACAATACCCTTATATGTACATGTGTCACTGTGATGCACATTACCCTTATATGTACATGTGTCACAGTGATGTACATAACCCTTATATGTACATGTGTCACAGTGATGTACAATGAACATGTGTCAGTGATGTACAATACCCTTATATGTACATGTGTCACAGGGATGTACAATACCCTTATATGTACATGTGTCACAGGGATGTACAATACCCTTATATGTACATGTGTCACAGGGATGTACAATACCCTTATATGTACATGTGTCACAGGGATGTACAATACCCTTATATGTACATGTGTCACAGGGATGTACAATACCCTTATATGTACATGTGTCACAGGGATGTACAATACCCTTATATGTACATGTGTCACAGTGATGTACATTCCCCTTATATGTACATGTGTCACAGTGATGTACATAACCCTTATATGTACATGTGTCACAGTGATGTACAATGAACATGTGTCAGTGATGTACAATACCCTTATATGTACATGTGTCACAGGGATGTACAATACCCTTATATGTACATGTGTCACAGGGATGTATATTACCCTTATATGTACATGTGTCACAGTGATGTACAATACCCTTACCTGTACATGTGTCAGTGATGTACAATACCATTATATGTACATGTGTCAGTGATGTACAATACTGTTATATGTACAGATAATTTGTCTTTTGTTTTCTTAACATGGATGTAACAATGAGTTAAAACAATGATCACATTAAATATCAACAAAAAAATATTGTTTTTGTACTGATCACATATATATTAACAGTGTATCACCATAGTTGATCCCATAGCAGACTCACCTTCCACCTGTAATCTGTATCTCTCTATGTATGGTAGTACGTTGCCGTTGGTGACACGACAAGCGTAAACCCCAGAATCCTGACTGGAGATACTGCGTATGAGGAGGGAGCCGTTCTGGTAGTTTACATAGCGACGGTCATTAGACACCAAGAATCTGGATAATGAAAGGAAACAAACCATGTATAACTGGACAAAGTAAGGAACCATACAGTATATAACTGGACAAAGTAAGGAACCATACAGTGTATAACTGGACAAAGGAACCATACAGTGTATAACTGGACAAAGTAAGGAACCATACAGTATATAACTGGACAAAGTAAGGAACCATACAGTGTATAACTGGACAAAGGAACCATACAGTGTATAACTGGACAAAGTAAGGAACCATACAGTGTATAAATGGACAAAGTAAGGAACCATACAGTATATTACTTGGCAAAGGAGCCATACAGTATATAACTGGACAAAGTAAGGAACCATACAGTGTATAACTGGACAAAGTAAGGATCCATACAGTATATAACTGGACAAAGTAAGGAACCATACAGTATATAAATCAACTTGACAGAATATTAAGAACAATGTCCAAGGTTGTAGTTGTTGTTCTGTGTCAATAGTCAAAATGATGATTAAGGGACAAAACATCGGCGTAGGTTTTTTATAGAGAAGATATTTGTAAAAGTATGAGATAAAATATTGATCATAATTCCCCACCAATTATGAATTATCATTTAATTAAAGTGTTCTGAGGAGTGAAGAATGAATTCTAAGCATACGTTTAAGCAGACATGACTTACGCATCCCTGTACCAGGCGATGGTTCCCGTGTTTGTGCCTGGTTTGTAGCCGGAGCAGGGCAGCATCACATCCTGTCCTGGCTGTTCTATGATGGAGGTGTAGTCGCCATCAATGAGTCCAGTCTCCTCTGAGCCTCCACTACTGGGGTCTAAACACCCAAATATCTCATGTTAAACAAAGTTTACAGTATCGTCATACTTAAATAATCCACTATGTTATGATGTTGGTTTTTTATTCTAGTCAAGATGCAGGGGTCAGTTTTGCCATTCATGTGAAATAAAGCTGAAGTGAAAGATTTAAATCTGGCGATGTGCTGTGTTCTTTCTTATAAATCAAAGTGTGAGAAAAGCACTGAGCATGCATCCTATGGGTCTGATGTCTATTCTTACCTGATCAGATACAACGTGTTTTGCCCTCAGGATCACAATCAAGGTTCTCTAGGATACTTTCAACACTGACTAATGCCTTTGTCATACATAATACAGCAATTTCGCCCATTATTTATCACATTACAAATACTGCTCTAAACCACAGCTGCTGAAAAGTGGAGAAGAGTTATGCCCCTTGGATGAGCTCTACTACTATAAACTGGGGTCAGACAACTTTTGCAAGCTTCATCTTGGACCAAGACATGATTGTGACAATGTTATAACAGCAGCACCAAATAATTATCTAGAGAACAGCACTGTAGTGTAAATGTACAGATCAATTAATATCACCAGAACATCTACAACTACAATACTGACAACCATTACCACAGTTTAAACAAAGTCTATTCTGATTGGAACTGAATGTACATTAAGATGGATGGACGTACATTACTGCTCTGAAATGAATATATCCTCTCCTTTGTAACTCAACAAGATGGAAGATTTAATGATGAACATTTAACAAAAACAGAACTAGGGGAGAGCATGCATAGGGACGAATTTATTCATGCACAGAGGAAGAAATAGACAGAACATGCAACAAACACAACTCCTAACATCTCCCATACTAGGTGGAGGTCAGCTAGAACAACAAACGCGACTCCTAACATCTCCCATACTAGGGTGAGGTGTGTGATCTATAATCTCCTGGCCGACAGTATCACACTAGAAAACTAGCCAAGTGATGTATCCTACTGTATAACATGAAATGTTTGTTGTGTATAAACGTTCGTGGTTTTCGTGGTTGCTATTGAACCAGGAAAATAAATACAAAGAATTTGAATAATACACATGTCTACTGTTTGTTAATATAGGATATCCACGAAAGTTTGTACCACGAGCCGATCTAAATGGCTTCTAACCACGAAAGAAAGTACCCACGAACATTTCTCATTACACAGTATCTATACAGTGTAGAACAACAAACAAGAAAATCCCCTCAAAACTATGAAAGCTTTCTGTAGCAGCCCCGTCTTAGGTGAATTTTTGAAAAACGGTGAACATTGGCTTGGGTTTGAGAGGTGTTTCCTGGAAGTGCCCCTCATAATGACAGATCCACACCTGTGTTAGGGTTATATACATTGATTGGAAAATAATTACCCAAAACAATCATTAGTGTAGGGAGTATACAAAGTACATACAGGGTACAGAAGGTTTAAAAAGTACTGTTTTATTTTCTGATTTCCAACACACATTCACTTGTATACTTACAGAACAGATAACCAACACAATACTGAAACATGTACATCTATGTATGCAATCCTGATACGTCGGCTACACATGAAATACTTTATATAGACACATTGGCTACACACATACTCAATCCTGATACGTCGGCTACACATGTACAGATTACTGACACATTGGCTACACACATACTCAATCCTGATACGTCAGCTACACATGTACAGATTACTGACACATTGGCTACACACATACTCAATCCTGCTACGTCAGCTACACATGTACAGATTACTGACACATTGGCTACACACATACTCAATCCTGATACGTCAGCTACACATGTACAGATTACTGACACATTTGCTACACACACAACATAGGTGACTGTACCTCTACAGTTGCTGAAGTAGATGTCGGCGGCCGGGAGGACTCCGTCCGGACAACACCCAAAACGTGTTAGGTGGCAGTCGCCGCGACCCCTGGTAGGTCGAGGGGTCACTGGAGTTCGAGTGACTGGAGGCATGCAATGGGGTTAGAAATATTGGTTAATATTTAAAACGAAAATTAAAAAAGGAAAAAATATTAAATAAGAGTACCATTACCAAAGTGAATGTCAAAACAGCAAGCTTAAATTAATTCCAAGGAACTTGTGAGCTTGACTTTTAAATCAAAGGAGCATCATTGGTCTGCCTATAATGATCTTTAGGCCAGAGACATGCATTTTAAATGTGTGGTAACATTGTGGAGAAGGATGCAGGCAGGAACCAGTTCACTTGTCGTTATCACAAGTCATCACCGCCTCAACGTTTAACACATGTCATGCTGCCTTACTTAGGAGATGGAGCTATTTTGACTTCTAGGGAAACTTTAGGGACATGCAGTAGGGTCAGGAGGTTCTATACAGAGCCAGGAAAGTCGGTTACTCCAGGATTTAGTCAATAAATTCAAATGTTAAAGTATGAAAATTGTAAATTCAGTCCATAATCATTGTTAGTAGATGTTACTCTACCTTGTTACTCCTAAGATTCAATGTTACTCCTAAGATTCAATGTTACTCCTATGATACATTGTTACTCTACGATACATTGTTACTCTATGATACATTGTTACTCTACGATACATTGTTACTCTATGATACATTGTTACAGTAGAATATACATTGTTATTTAATACATTTGTTACATACATGTATTATACATTGTGATTGTTATATATTGTGATAATTTGTATCTAAGCAGCTACATGTACATGATACATTGCTGCCAGCAACATAGTATAATAATTAACTATGGATTGCTCTGTTACTATATATTACCTTACTTTATTACATAATTACTGTTATAAAGTGAATACACATGTCATATATTTTGTGTACTTCTTACAATACCACCCATTGTGATGTCAGAATTTCACAGCAGACAACACTTCTAAATGGAGTTGTTGAGAAAATAATGATGATGGTAAAAACAAACCCCACAAATATCCTCCTCATAAGCTGATGGTAAAAACAAACCCCACAAATATCCTCATAAGCTGATGGTAAAAACAAACCCTGCAAATATTCTCCTCATAAGGTGATGGTAAAAACAAACCCCACAAAAATTCTCATAAACTGATGGTAAAAAACAAACCCCGCAACTATTCTCTTCATAAGCTGATGGTAAAAACAAACCCCACGAATATCCTCATAAGCTGATGGTAAAACCCCCACAAATATCCTCATAAGCTGATGGTAAAAACAAACCCCGCAAATATTCTCCTCATAAGCTGATGGTAAAAACAAACCCCACAAATATCCTCATAAGCTGAAGGTAAAAACAAACCCTGAAATATTCTCTTCATAAGCTGATGGTAAAAACAAACCCCACGAATATCCTCATAAGCTGATGGTAAAACCCCCACAAATATCCTCATAAGCTGATGGTAAAAACAAACCCCGCAAATATTCTCCTCATAAGCTGATGGTAAAAACAAACCCCACAAATATCCTCATAAGCTGAAGGTAAAAACAAACCCTGAAATATTCTCTTCATAAGCTGATGGTAAAAACAAACCCCACGAATATCCTCATAAGCTGATGGTAAAACCCCCACAAATATCCTCATAAGCTGATGGTAAAAACAAACCCCGCAAATATTCTCCTCATAAGCTGATGGTAAAAACAAACCCCACAAATATCCTCATAAGCTGAAGGTAAAAACAAACCCTGAAATATTCTCTTCATAAGCTGATGGTAAAAACAAACCCCACGAATATCCTCATAAGCTGATGGTAAAACCCCCACAAATATCCTCATAAGCTGATGGTAAAAA